CCCTAACTTTTTTTGCAGCTCAGCTGGTGGGAACTATCTTAGTACCTGTGAGTACACCCTGGGTGACACAGATGACACACTTCTTTAAACATGTGGAAGAAAGAAGAGCTTTAAACACACACTGTGAATATGTTTCACACAGCAGGTTCTTTAGCTGTGTACTGTTTGGCCACTGCTTAGATTTCATGTGTTGCTTTCTTGCCATGGATTAAGAGAAATTAAGCCTGCTGTCATATCAGCCAGGTGTCTGAGGGACCAGGTGGGAAAGGACAGAGGAAGGTGTGATTTTCACTGTCCATTTATTCCTTGTTGCTGGTGTTTGCTTGAACTGCAGTGCAATTAACCAAACAGCTGATGCTTATGCATCAGGGCACCTACAGTGTTTATAATGGTACTAAGTTATGGGCACCCATGGAATGAGGTGTTGCTCTAATTGTCACACTTTACTTCTGGCAGCCTTTAACTTCCCTTAGCTTAGTAGCTCCTATAATGGTTATGACTTCCAAATTAAGCCATCTGTAAACACTAAAACTTGCAAGCTCTTAACCAAATTCATAGCGGTCGTGTTTGGGAAGTTCTGCATCTTTTCATCTGCTGCCCGGAGAAGTGCTCAGTCAGTGTGTGCCCTGGTCCCTGCCTCCGGGAGCATCCTCTCCCCATGCTATTACAGTCAGTGTCTTCTCCACCCAGCCACCTTGGCGTTAGCTTTCTCAACGGCCTCAGTATCCCCCTGTTACACTCGGGCCTGAGCTTTTCTAAACATGTTTTGGCAAATGCTATAAAGAAGTCATTTGACAACACTTTCTTTTGAACCTGAAAGGCTAAAGCAGAAATGGCAGAGTAGCTTCACCTCTCTGTCAGGCTTATTCTACATATACTGTTATTGCATTGAAGTAATATTTTTCAATTATCAGTGAAATGAAGTTGGAAACCTTATTGGTTTCTTCTTCTCTTGTCGTGTACAGCAAACTCAGGATGACTTCAGCCCAGCCTAGTAAGCAACAGGCACAGAAGGCATTGAAGGCCTCGGCTGAGCTACCAATCAGTCAGGGCAGGCAGAGGTGTGCAGTGCCCATGGGGGGACTGATCTGGAGGAGGCAGCAGACGTGGGGCTCCTGCTCGGCTGCACATGGCTGGTGAAGGCTCTGACTGCAGAGCATTAATAAGCTACCAGTCATGGCTCTAAAATGAGTCACAAATGAGTTAAAGCCCTTCCAGTAGTGAGGCAACTCCCCTTGCAAGGCATGCATTTAACAATTCAAGCACAAAGGAGGGACTTGTACCTTAAAAGCAGGCTGTATTCTGTAATAGAAATTAAGAACTGGGCTCACTGGGTGCTGTTCAGCCTTACTCCCTGCAGGAGCCATGGAAGAGGTGACACAGGCTGCTCAGAGCAGTGTCACTGTGCAAATCCCCTCTCTGTAGCTGCCTGCAACCCTGGGCCATGCCCTAGGTGCACTGCAGCAATGATCAAGCTCCCCTGCCAGTCTCCAGTGTCAGCCAGCCTTGATCTAAACAGAGTCCCTGCCGCTCAGCTTGGCCTGTTGGTAAGCACTACATACAACTGATTATGCAAACAAAAGGTACAGCGTAATAACTGCTGGGCTGCTCACACCATAGCAGCAATGTTAAATGCCTCCAGGCTGCTCTTCAGGAGGGAGGACAAGCAGGGGCAGAACTGCCGAAGAGAGGGGGGAGAAACAAAACAGGGCATTGTCTCTTTGTTTTCTGCTGTTTTTAAAGGATTAGCTGGCTGATGTCACTGACATCCCTGGTTGGAGAGTGCTGGGATATATGTTAAGGACTTTAAGTGGCAAGAGTTTTGCTTGTTGTTCTCACCATGGAGTGGCTGGGTGAGCAGCTCAGCATGTGCTGGGAGACACGCTCGGGGGCTCAGCTCTGCAAAAGCAGAGCTCAGGCCAGTGGTGATAGCTGCCTGCTGAGGGCTAGCAAGGCAGAGGGAATCATTGAGATAGCCTGCTCGGAGACAGCTGAGGGCTTTGAAAATACATGAGGTGACCTTAATTTTGATTTGGTGTGTGCAGTAATGAGCAAGTGGTGTGATAAATGTGTAAAGCTGACAGAAGGCACTGGTGTCTGTAAAGAAATAGGATGTGCAAGGTCAGGAAAGGTGTGCAGGGTGAAGTGATGTCTCAGAGGCAGTGAGCACACCAGGCTGACTCATGAGCTGAACTGTGCAATAATCACAGGTAATTATTGCACACCAGCCAGGAGGATTTGCATACACATCATGCTGGACCACAGGGCCCATTTGGGCTATGGCATGCTCTGCTTACAGCTTGGAGCAGATACACAGAGAAATGAGAAGCCATGTCCAAACAGAGCAAATATTCTTGTTACTTCCTTATCCAGGTTCCAGATGCGACATTAGGCCAAGTCCTGAAGAGTGAGGAGACAGGGAGCTACTGTCTTCAGAGAAATGAAGGGCAGAGAAGTGCCTGTATCACCCCCTCAGACTATGTCTGTGCTACAGAAATGTGCTTCTGAATCAACAGTGAGGACTTACTTTATAAGCTAATGTATTTTTCACTGAAATGAAAACAGTGGAAAGCCTGAAAAGTAATGATGAGTTATAAGCCCAGAGTGGTTATCTGAATGCAGAGACGAGCAGAAATCAGACCTTGAAAGAGCACCCGATCTACAATTCTTGTGGTTGAAGGGCAGGTAAATAATCTTGTGCACTGGGTAAGGGGTCCTAGGGCCTCCCACCCGCCACTCTATGTACCCACATAATGCAGCTGCAAAAAAACCAGGAATGCAGATGGCTAGGGATCTTAGAGGTGCACTGTCAGTGCACCTCTTAACACTATTTCTCTTCCCCAGTTAGGTTTAAAGCTATGTCTGCTATAGAAAAAAGTGTCTGATACAGCTTTGGGGGTGACAGCCTTTTGTCAGTGTCTCACACAGATTGCTTAGAAACAGAAACTTAACCATGGGCAATAATTAGTACCTGTCTAGACTTAAATATGAATGTGCAATATATAAAGTATATATATATATATACACACACGTACAGCCACAACGTATTGTAGGCAAGTACATATAAGGCACTGTTTGTACGCCTAAGATTTCAGGCAGCAAAATACCATTTCAGCTGGAGTAATATGAAGTCATAGTCTTTGGGCTATAATATAGACATTTCTAAACTATTTTTAGCTCCATCTGGCTAATATAGCAGTGCTTGGGTAACAGTAATACTTTCCCTTCTCTTCTTGTGATGCTAATTTTATTCTGGTATCCAGAGTCTCTCTGGCAATAGCTCTGCCTCCTGTTCCATCTGTACTGATGGCCGTTGGAAAGTTAAAATACACTATGACTAATGTCAGAGCACCTGAGCACGTGCTCCTGTTTGAGTGAGAAAAAAGGAAGCTCCACTGAGTCACGGGTACTGTGGAGAGATAATCAGTGCTAAATTATTTACTTTTTAAGATCTCAAATCCATATTACAGGTAACTGGGATGAAGCCAGGCCTCCAAGAAAAAAAACTCCTCTCTCTCCCTGTGCACTGTGCGGGCGGCAGCTCTGCTGCCCCAACCCCGCGGTGGCTCCTCTCGCTCAGCCCGCAGCGCCGCTGCAGCCCCGGCACCGGGATTCAAACCTTCATGCAACACCAGAGAGAAAAGGTCGGTAGCAATACAAACATGTGGATCGCAGCGCAGCACCGCTCACCCTAAGGCTACCAGGAAAAGAGTTAACCAGCGCAGAAATTCCCACCGCACGGTGCGAGCGGATTTTCTGCGATCCCTGGTTAGCAGCCGTAAG